ACTTATTTTAATCTTTTTGGACATTTGCGTTTGCTTCTCAAACACGAACTTGTGTGGGTTACAAATTGAAACAGCTTTTCTTGTTTTGCTGGGAGTTTGGGAAGAGAGTTTTCTGTGAATTTTTTTATTTCGTGGATAAAAATGGCTGAATATAATTATACTTTCAGTATAGCTACAATATTTAGTTGGTTAGTTGAATTAATTTTTTTTTCATATCATTTTTTTTACCACGGATTTCTAGTAAAAATTTGCAAAACAAAATTATAACGAAGACCTAATACATTTGGGTGTGTCAGAATTATTATGATGAAATTCTCGTAAAACAAAATCACAATCACAATGGACCAACTTTTTTTGTGTAAAATGTCAACAGTTTAAACTAATGCTGAACATTAACTTAAGGTCAAATAATATAACATTATATTATATCATTCGATATCACGTATCTTTTTCAAAACTCAACAACACAAAAACATCGTAGGTAAATACGTGATAATGACGCATCATAAATATAGCATATGATAGGGAAGATCCTTTTGTCATATTCGAACCCTACGGAGTACGCACTGCGAAGTAGCACCCGGCGACCTTAACAACTAGGCCATCATGCCGCCTACTATTTTTGACGATACAAAAATAATTTGAAAACTAGGAAATGTAATAATGGATGGTATTTGACCGGCAGCTTCTCGAACAGCGCCTCTGAGTTTTACATAGAGGGGCGCTATATAAATTCTCCATACCATACCATATATGTATATATATAATGCAAACGTGTGTGCGTGTGTGTGTGTGTGCACGAATGTGAATGTTTTTCGTTTCGTAGTAAATCCGTTCGTTTGTTTATTCGTCTATTTGAATCATACAAAAGTCTGCAAGGCTTTATATATGAATAACACATTAAAACAAATATCATTTTTTTTATTTCACGTGACTTTAGCGCACGCAGAACACCACACACGCAAGGCACTACACACGTTGATCACCAAACACACAAAAAAAAACCAGGACAGAGATCACAACACACACAGAACACCATATACACAGGACACCACACACACGGAACACCACACATACACACAATAACCACACACTCAGACAAGACAGCACACAGAACGCCACAAACACAAGACATCACATACGTTCGGGACATGACAGGACGCGTTGATGCGATCTCACGAAATGTACAGAAGAGGAGGGCACTGGATACGTTCAGATCAACACTCGTACAAGAGAGAAAAGGCTTTTGATGATGGGTCAGTGAGCCCGAGGAAGATCGGATTGACGTGCACGTTCCGCATATCGATGATCACACGATAAGAAAGTTGCAACAACGATACGAACGAGTAGCTTCAAACTGTATGATAAACTGCGGCAAAACGCTGGCGACGTGTTTCGATTCTAATATCCAATACATCACACTTAGCATTCCGTGCATTATTGTTATAGGAGAAATTTAGAATGTGAATTTGCAAAACAAACAACGTATTGCAAGCATTGCGAAGACGCATATTAAGTCTTATCTGACATAATTTTTTTGGTTTTTTTTTGTTGTGTCATGTTGTCGTTTCTAGAAATTTTTTTTCTGATGAGCCACATTTATCTGTATCTAAGAATTAAATAAATTGTTGTTATGTATAATGTGCAAAAGTAATATTTATCAAATAAGAGCATTTTGATTGTCGAAAAACTACGTTTTCGACAATAATGTGTCTGTCTAAAGCTTACAATAATGTGGTAAGAACCACAGCGGCGGAGCCAGAATTTTGCGTTGAGGATGATTTAAAAATTTCAAAGGGATCGACTTTTTTTTAGCTAATTGGTGAAAATTCTCATTTAATCCCAATTCGGTGGGGATGATTTTTAAAATTCTTAGTTGATAACCTTTCTTTTCTAATTTCCGATTACTTTACTACCATAGTTTACAGAGAATCTTCAATATTTTCTTCTTTCATTGTCTGGTGGGGTGCCACTGGTAAGATTTGCCTGATTATTAAATACGAAATATAAGAAAATTCACTTTTTTAAGCTGAGATTTTTTCGTTTTTCTATTACTTTAATTTATTAGTAAAAAAATCAGCTTTAGTACTTAACTCAACATAAGTAAATCTTCTTAAATCGTAGCAAATCAAACAGTTTCATATCATACAAAAAATTTGTCAATTAACGAAACCAGGAAGACATTCCACTCGCCGACGTTTTCAAGTTTCATGCATAACGCTGAAAACCAGCATGAGAGATCATCTATCGTACAAACGTTCAACCACAGATCTAAATTTACAACGCGTAAACAAATAGTATTTTGTACACACATCGGAATTGCAAGTCATATGTAAGGCATCGATCAGAAACAAAAACAGCCAACACGAACCGATGATATGTACGGTCGAACCAGTGGACCGCTAAGCGTTAGGGAATCGTAAACTAAAGTGTTTCGATTGTTTTTGCCGTTATAATCATCTTCGAGCTTGCTTAGCACACGATCTATTCACAGCGACCTACTGACAAGACAATATTGTAAAAGTTTCTTTACAACGAAAAAATATGCGATCTATAATTTTTAGTTACGGAACACCGCGAGAAGCTACTATCTTTCAAGTGGTTATAAATTCAATTAGATTTTTCGAAGCCTGTTAACGAGGCATAACAAAATTTTACGACTAACAGAGTACGGGTAGCTTGAAATTTTTTTACAACATCTACAAGCCATCAAGCAAGAAAATATTTATAATAACTAAAAGCGTAAAAAAAAACACAAGTGATAACGTAGTTTCAATGTTACGACATTACGTCATTTGTACAATGCATGGCACGTGACGACCACCATAATTAACGATTGAGTGCAGGGACCTGTACATGCTGTAGATGTATCTGCAATGCATAATAGAGTTAGTTTTGCCTAATTTCAAAATTAAAAAAATCAATTTCACTATTAAAACAAAAATAAATTAAATCGACGTTCATAATATATGAGGGTCTTTTGAGAAAGATAATTTCATAAAAAAAATCTTAATGAAAATAGTTCTGTTAGTAAGTAGTTACAATCTTCAACAAATATTTGAAAGAAGAATGCGGGAAATCATTTGAAAGCAGGCAGCCAACATATCTTGATATATGCTTCATAGAAGCCTCTCATTACTTTCATCGAACTGTATGCAACAAATAAACAGGCAAACGTTGGTCGGCATCTTAATCTAGCCATCAGTCACAACATTCAGCCTTCTCTAAACAGTTTACGGCAAGTTTTTTTATGCATTTTTCTTAACGGATCTTATCTGAATGTCGTAAATAAATGACACATGCTTGTGTTTCTCGAATTAAACATGAACTGACCTTGTAAAAATACTGTTGGATTCTAGATTTCGATGTAACAACTCAGGCACAATGCATAAAAACGTGGCAATCGCTATAAATTCGTTTCGGCTAATAAATTCCAATGAATTCGTTTTATATTTATTTTTCGAAAAAACGTTTGAAAATGTATGTACGTGTATATAAAATGTATTTTTATCTATATAATCTTCTAATTAAGGAGCCCAACTTAATTCTTAATACTTATCAATCAATTGTTAAATACACGCAAAGCACCTTGTCATGAAAATAACCCCTCTTGCACTGCTCACTGTCGCTTCAACTGATTAATTAAAAGTTGCACATACGAGGTCACACAAACACACACACAGACAAATAAGCACAGTGGCGGATCAAGATAACTATTATGGGAAGGCCAAAATTTTAAGGTGTTTAAAATTATATATATGTATTTAGGCAGTGTTTTCTTGAATATATACTTTGTTGAACTCGATCGAATATCGAATTTACCAGGTTGTTTCTATTTTTTTTACTAGTTTTCCAATTTTATAATTAGTTTCTTGTTTTCGTAATTAAAATCATGAATTAAATTTCCAAGAATCACCAACACGAAGCGACACCAACTATGAGCTGAAACAAAGAAATGTAGGAAATTCAATTCATGATTTTATTACGAAAACAAAAAACTAAGTAGAAAATTGGAAAACTTGAAAAAGAAAGAAACAACATGGTAAATTCAATCCAGTTCAAAAAAAGATATATATATATATATATATATATATATATATAATTATTATATATAATTATATATATATCTCCGGGTCTCTCCTGCTTTGGCTGAATAAAACATTTTTTGAATTGAATATATATATATATATATATATATATATATATATATATATATATATATATATATATATATATATATATTTACAATATTCTATAAATTCTACCGAATGCTTGGCGTTAATATGTTTGTAGTTCGTTTTTTCAATTTTTCTCACTAAAAGTTTTTTGGTGAACGTTTAGTTTATTAAAATTCAAAATAAACTTTTTTTCCGAATTCATGCTGCAAATAAGACCATATTTGGATTCCGAATGAATCACCATCAGTGCTTTCTGCTGTTTATATAGGGAAATATTGACATTGTCAAAATGAATTTAGAATTAACTATATATATATATATATATATATATATATATATATATATATATATAGTTTTATATATATATATATATATATAGTTAGTACAAAAAATTGAATTGAAGAAAGTAAATAAATTTTCATGCCTGTCACATTTTCGCGCTCGATTCAAGTCCGACAAATAACATCTGGCGAGTGTCATCACCAAATAATCAAAGTAGAGAAGAGATAATCTTTCCTTGAGATGAAGAAAGACCATCAACTGCTTCGGCTGGTTGTAGGTGACAAAGTAACCCGACCAACTCAGCCGGCAATCTGCTGATGAAATGAATTAACACAGATTTGATGAACAGTCGAAGCTTCAAGCTAGTAATTGCGCATAAAGAGTTAATTAATTACTTTGAAAACTGCAGGATTGTGCCTTTTGATTCTTTGGAATCTGCCCTGTGCAACATATTTCAAATGAACCTTATCAAATCTTTTGCGATATGATTCTATGGTAATAAAGCAGTTATACTTTATTCAATGAAACTTGGGTGCAAGTTCACTTTTTTGTTTTTTTAAATATGAAAAGATGGAATGGTGATGTTAAAAGGTTTAAACCTCTTGTCATATGTCGGTATTTTTTCTCATTCTTTAAAAAAAGTTTGTTCAGGTGCATACAGCGCTCACTTCTATTTTCTGGAAAGTTTTTCAGTGTGTTAATAATAAAAATGGGTTGTTTCCAAATTTCTCCAACTACTATTTACAAAATTAAATGTGTTAATTTACCAACAATTATTTATTAAAATCACAAATAACAACGACACGACCACCTGATGCAAGTAGGAGTATGATGCATTCATACAACCACAACAAATACAACTTCTTCTTAATGGGAGACGCAAGACTGCTTCTCATCAGATGAGGAACCAGATGAACTGACTGAGTGAAGGAATGGCTATTAATTAAAATTACGTATCAACAACACAACAATTTGCAACAAATGTTGCATAAACTTCAACAACCAGCCACACAATGATTGAAAACGCAGCAAGGGCAGTGGCACAACAATATCGCAACAGGTAGCAAATACAACATACAACATGAGGCAACAATTATATCAACACGTAACCAATAAACTACACAACGATGCATAGCAAATCAAACAACACAACTAATAATAACTTAACATAAAAAACATCATGCAACAAAAAAGAGTGCAAAAAACAACAGACGACGTTCATCAAACAACATGCAACGAACAACGAACACAAAACAATCACGCAACAAAACACAACATACCACGGACAACATGCAGCAAACAACGTACAACAACAAACAACATGCAAACGACAACGCCCGACAACAACAAACAAAATAAAGACTGAATAATAAATGAATGTTAATCTATCTCCTCACATGACTTTGCAAGACATCCATGAACTTCCTCTTCATGAAACATTCAGAGTTGGTGACGAGTTCTGCTTGGAACAATTGAGATCTGAGAGCCTCGTTCCTCTGTGTGGCATGCTTGCATGGCGAATGCTTCTTAAACAAATGTCTAAATACACGAAAACGGTATGGCTTGTAATGGCTCAAATATTCAGAAAGCAAAAAAATTAAACCCGTTGTTGGAAAAATCAGGAGTCTGTTTGATGTCTGAAGTAACAGGAACCAGAAGTTCAACAGGCTGCAGAGTTTCATCATCAACAGAACCATCCTCTTCTATCTGACTTGATGCTTTGACCTTGTGGATTGTGTTACATTTCACAATAACATCATTAAAATGTTTTGTCTCAGACGATGTTCTACCACTGCAATCTTTTACAGAACGGATATTTTTCTCTGTTTCACATTTACACTTTGCTTCAGCATCCTTTACTAGCAAGTCATGAGTTAATCTAGCTTTCGATTGAATATTTGAATTTTTTGCCCGACGAACTGCTGGTTTGCTGCACTCTGATAAAGAGGGTTTTCTCCCTCTCACATCAGTTTCAGTTGCAGCCTTCCTGCATGCTGGTAACGTTTGGGTCTTGATGTCTTTATTTGAAATTTCATTTCTTGGGTTTGCGTCTATTTCACCCAAAAATTCAAGATGGTTTTTAAGTTGAAGTTCAGTAATGTATGAAACAGTTTGATTGATATCTTCGTTTTCATATACTGTCCCATGCATGGAGTTGAAGTTGCTTGGTGCATCTTCAATTTGTTCCACATCAATTTTCTGTGTTGAATCAATGATAAAACATATTTAATATATAATAAATTCAAACAAGAAAAAGCAGCTAACAATCAAGAAAAATTTGTCAAGTCTTAGCATTCATTTATATCGGGCTTGTGTTAACTAATATTCATAGTTGCCAACCAATACAAACATTCAGGGTGGGTATGAGTATGATTTTTATGATTTTAACTTGAATCCCATGCAAACAATGAAGGCGGCATAGGTTAGGACTTGCTCAGAACACTATGCATACTTATATACATTTATAACCATTTAACAATATTTGAAACATTCTGTACATTTATGTCAAATGTCAGCAAGGAAACATGGGTGAAAATTTTAAAATGTCGCTCATAAAAAATTGGTAACCTTTTTTCTCGTATCATTGAAAGTTGTTGGAGAATTTTTCAAAAAATTGTTCATGTTTTCAGAATTCTGGATGCATTTTCTTTTTTTCTTGAAAATGACTCCCTTCCCTTGAAATAGAAATGATGATATTTCTCCTTTGATTGAAAATTATGCATTTAATAAATAGAGTTACCATTATTTGACTGGCGATTTTTAGTTTCTATAAAACTGAAGAGAAAAATTTTAAAGTTAATTATATAAAAAAGGAAAAAATTAATGATAAACACAAAAAACAATAGGAAGAAGGAATGAGTAACCACGGGTTCCTGCAGCAGTGAAGTACAAAAATTAATGGGCATATTCCATCAAAAGAGAAAAATTTTAAAGTTAATTATATAAAAAAGGAAAAAATTAATGATAAACACAAAAAACAATAGGAAGAAGGAATGAGTAACCACGGGTCCCTGCAGCAGTGAAGTACAAAAATTAATGGGCATATTCCATCAAAAGACATTTATAGTCCTTGAAATTTTGACGAACCTACTGCTACCAGACCAGGCAGTACATTGCTTTAGTAATATTGAATATGATTAAGTGCTGCCTTTGATTGTGTTGTCAATCAGATTTTTTAGAAAGAATAGTTTAAGATTTTGGTATTTTCTGAAACTGTCTTCAGATAGTCATAAAGTTAAAACTTGAAGGCCTAATTTCTTTAATCTATTTTTTAATCTCTGCATTATATACACAGCTGAGGTTTTGGAGTTATTATTAATTGGTACAACATTCAAATTAAAATTAAATGAAATAAATAATCAGTAGTAATAACTAAATAAAACTAGAACTTTTTCAGTGTAGCGTAAGATCTACAAAAACACCAACTTGATGATGAGCCAATTTTGACCTTAGAATACACACCACACACACACACACACAAACACACACATCCACTCGCTAACACCCATCACACAGACACACCCTATAGGCCAATACCTTATACTATACTAACCCTCACAGATGATTTCCTCATCTCACTCACTACATTGCACACACTACACTACAAGACAGGACACTACACAACAGAGTGCACGCACGCACGCACACACACACGAAAACCATGATTTTATGATATAATAAAAAAAATCGGTTAAAGTATAATAAATTATATATATATAATATATATATATCGGGTATAAATGAATATTAATAAATTCACCAACAAGGGATTTTTCAATAGGAAATTGACGTTTCTAGAAATTGCGCTAATTTGATTTTTCTCATTTTCTAAATTGTCATTTAATCTTCGTAACTGATCCATCTTGCGATCAAAAATTAAAAACGCTTTGCACTAACTCAAACAATATTTAAAAATACTCTAATTTCGTTTAAATGGTTTTTCACTTTTAAATTTTTATTATTTTTTAAGCATAGATCTGGAAACCAGGTAGAGGAAACCAGGTCATAATATAATATATAATGAATCAATGGTCATGTTATATTTTAATACGCACATATAGAAGTATATAAATATATACATATATGTGTTTGTCTATATGTATTTTAATGTATATGATTCAATATATATATATATATATATATATATATATATATATATATACATATATTTTTTACAATATTCTATAAATTCTACCGAATGTTTGGCGTTAATATGTTTGTAGTTCGTTTTTTCGATTTTTCTCACTAAAGTTTTTTGGTGAACGTTTAGTTTATTAAAATTCAAAATAAACTTATTTTTCGAATTCATGCTGCAAATAAGGCCATATTTAGATTCCGAATGAATCATCATCAGTGCTCCTTGCTGTATATATAGGGAAATATTGACTTGGTCAAGATGAACTTTGACGTTTTAAAAATTAACTTTGGTGTTGTAAAATTGAACTTAGATGCGAATTAGGTGTCAGGTTACTTCTTTTCCTCCATCTAATCTCAATAATGTTCTTCATAATTTATCTCTATGTCTTTCTTCGATTATCGCTTGGTCTGATTCTATGTGTCTTAAACTTAATCCTTCTAAGTTTGAATTAATTTGTTTTAATAAATCTAAACACTCAATTACTATTCCTCCTATTATCTTACCTGATTCTAAAACTCTTGATGTCTCTCATAAGTTTCGTAGTCTAGGTTTTATCTTTGATTCTACTATGTCTCTCTCTTCTCAGATTAATAGTGTTGCTAGAAGCTCTTACTTTCATCTACGTAGAATAAAAAAACTTTTGCCTTTTCTTGATGATCCTACTCTTCTCCTTGTTACTTCGTTAGTCTTATCTAGGATTGATTATTGTAACTCGCTCTACTATGGTCTTCCTGACTCTATACTCTATCCTTTAAGTAAAGCTTTTAACTCTGCTGCTCGTCTAGTTGCTCGTGCCCCTTTCTTTTCTCATATATCTCCATATCTTGTTCTCTTGCACTGGCTACCTATAAAATATAGAATAATTTTTAAAATTTGCACGTTCATGTATAAGTCTCAATCTAAATTATTTCCTAAGTACTTATCAGATATATTAATTGAACCTAAACGCCCCGGTTTACGATCGTCTTCTTCTTCTCGCTTTTTCTTAACTCGTGTTAAACACTCTTTTGCCAAATCTGCTTTTGCTTTTTCTGGTCCTTTTCTCTGGAACTCTCTG